AACCCGTCTGGATAACAGCAGACTGGCTTTTCGTAAAATATACAACAGGTCTGGACCACTCGTGAATTTTGTTCGTATCTAAAAAAATCTTAGAATACGAAAACATTGGTGAATGTTACAAATTCTCCTAAATCACTCGTACGCACAACTTAAGAACAAATCTGTGCGTACCAACAGTTCTTGCATGAGGCGTTCTGACAGAACCGTCACAGTGAAAATAATTTTACTCCTAATTCAAAAAATGCGTTAATGATGTTCTAAGGAACAAGACAAAGTTTGTCTGAAATCACATRAGATTTTTACCTTTAGCTGAATCCAGCAGAGAGAAGAGAAGCAGAAGAATAATTACAGCCATGGTTGTCTGAAGTGAAAACCAGGAAGTGAGGCTCACTCTTTGATCAAACTTGTTTCCCAGTGAATAAAAAGAACAACAGTCAAGGCTGAGCATTTATAAAGCTTTACCAGAATACACTTCCTTATTAAAAACTGTCGATGCTTCAACATGCACAGAAGAACAGGAAGAGAAGTGAGTGGTGGGAGTAAAATGTCAAGTTAAAAATACATTTTTGCCCATTTATGGACGAGAAGAAAATGTCTTTGTGAGAGTGTGATCTGTGTCTTATGTGATGTCTCCCTCTTGTGTTCTCTTTGTGTTATAACTCTCTCATCTCACCTCAGTCTGTTCACCTGTCACTTTCCTTAACCACACTCASCAATCAGTCATCCTCAGCTGTTTTCCATCATCTGCTCTCCCTCTGCTTAAATATTCTGGTTCCACCTCCTCTTTCCTCGTTGKTTCATCAGTCTYGGTCCTCTGTTCCCTGTGTCTCCCTGCAYTTTCTGTAAGTTTTGCTGCCACGTCAGCCTTTGTTTTTATTTAATTAAATGTTTTGTTTTGAGCTCCTTGTGTCCGCCTGCTCTTGGGTTCATTCACCTTCAGACCCCGACAGTCTTACTGGAATATGAGAATCTAAAACACCTTCACAACCTCCTGAAGCCAGACAAAATACAATATGTGAGAAGCTGCTTACTGCGCTTTAAGTATAAAAGAAAAAAGCATATTTTCAAGAATGTCTGAAATGTTTAGTGAATKAAACCTTTCCCAGACATTATCCAACCCATGAGGACTCATTTTGATCCAAAGGGCAGCAGGAGGGTTCTGAATTTTGACGTTTTCTTAAACAGTTGTATAATTTGCTCACTAATTTGATACGATGCTGAGATGATTTGAGTCAAAGGAGAAAGAAACATGACCAAAAATACACTTTTATATTTATTTATTCAGACAATTGAGTTACTTTTTGTGTTGCTGTTGTTTTTTTTCGTCAAATTTATTTAAAAAGAGAGAATGARATGAAAATGCTTTTCTTCTGTTTTGCTCCCACATTTCTGACTTMCTTACTCCTGGTGGGTTGCCAGTTCAAACTCCTGCTCTGTTGATCTCAGTTGTTGTTCTAGCTTTCTGTAGTTTTGTGAATG